AATGATCAAAAAGAGGCATCAGACATTTTGGTTAGAAGATCTTTACTAACCATTTGACAATGTGGTTCTGGAATAGCCTCCCCACTGCAGTTGTGTGTGCAAAAATATTGAATTGCTTTGAGGACAGAACTTGGTAAGTTTGTGAAAAGTATTATATCACATGGTGCCTGTGATAGGAGACCTGGTAGCACAGAGGTTTCTGCCAGTCCTATGCTCAAAGGTAAATATTCTGTAACCCTCTATCAATATAAATATGAAGCATGTGATTATACAAAAAGCAAGCACATGATTTATTAATCACAGGACCTCAGCTTGTCAAATAATAATTGCAAGGCAATAACACACATTGTTTTAATAAATGGCTCCCTAAGATTCTCTCCCACAGTAAACCAGTAAAAAAAGGACAATTATTCCAAGGGAAAGGCAATATGTTGCATTTCTGGTTGTTAGCTTTTAAATGAACTGAGTGTGTGGAACTCTTAAATCAAGTACTCCCATTTTTCTGCACATTTCACAAGTTCAGCCCTTTCCAGTAAAGCATCTTTTCAGATGCGTGATTGCCTTTTGTTAAGGCAAGAATGAACAGATGACAACTGCAGCACAGAGGAGACATGCCTGGAACAGTTTTACAAAGCAAACCCAATTCTAATGCTTCTGCAATTCTAATGCTTCTGCCAGGAGGGCGTACTAGAAATGTGAAGAGGAAGGCTTTTTGTGCAATGTGAAGGGCCAGTTGTGGAAAGCCACGATAGAGACAGGCAAGCTGTGGTTCAGAAGAGTGTTTATCCAAAGCCATCGCAGTAGGTGACACTTCAGTTTCCACGCTCGGGCAAGCGTGAGCTGATCCCTCTCCGCCTCCCAAGGGTGCCCAGCCTCGACAGGCGCTGCACACCCAGGTCTGCAGCGCAGCCCCGTTCCCAGCTCATGGATGGAGCTGCAGGAGGATGTTCAAAAGCAACGCTAATTACTGAGCATTAAAAAAAGCGAAGGCGTGTTTTAGTATCCTTTCAACCTGGAGCTGACGCTGCCTGATGAAGAATGGGATTGCTGTGCTTGCAGTTCATTTTATGAAGGCACCTTTGCAGAAGATGCAAAAATAAAAGTAGGCTGAAGGAAAAGAAAGCAGAAGGCCAAGAGACAGGCAACTGAACAGAGCAGATTGATTTAACTGATAAGATACATTTTTGCTGTCTGCATTATGTGTGGAAATTTATATTCCAAGTGACACAGTAACAGACTCGGTTGTAATCAAACAGCACTGCTGAGGTGTCAGGAGCACAGATGCTGCCTATCGAAAATATTTAAAACAGAAAGTAAAACTTTGAAAAATCTGCAGCAGGGAGCGCAACGAAAGCACTCTGTGGTGTTTCTAACCCAGTGCGACTCCTCTCTGCTTTTCACAGCTCTCTCTGGTGCTGGAGGTCGGACGACCTTTGTGAATCGCCCCAGCTACAGCTCAGATAAACCTTGATGAAAAGCAAAGGCCACCAGCAAGGGAGACGCGTGGTGTCTATTGTGCACTAGACATCGGATGGGGGGAAGGGCTGCTCCACGCGTTTTGGGCAACTTCAGCCAATGGATTCCTCCCCTGGGTGTTACAGGAGGGCTTGGCCAGCATGTGAGAAAGGGAGGGGAGAGTTTGAAAACAACCCAGCAGGCTCGAAGGAAGGAAGGAGGGTAGAAAGTGACCTGCTCACCTCCGCGCAAGCATTTTGCTCCAGGTGATCAGCGGCGTTAGGGGTGGAAGCTCAGGAGGGTCCTGGTAGAGGCCAGTGGGTCCCCGCTGGTGCGGGTCGGCGTGGCGGAGGTCCTGGGCGCAGGTAAACCCGGGACGCAGGTGTCGGGGAGCGGGTGCTGAGCTGCGCAGCCCGCACGGGTTGCCTCGAGGTGCGAATTGGCCAGAAATGGTCGAAAGAGTTTTTTTTTTTTCCTATGGGAGGAGGAATTCTGCTCTTTTGTTTTTATGGGGATTTTGGTGGTATGTTTGCTATTAATGCGGCTGGGGGAGGGAGGCCAGGAGGGAGCAAGCTCAGAGATTAGCATGTGATCAGCTGGCTCTTAAATATTACAGGCGGTTTTGAGGTTAGAAAGGCAAAAAGAGGCAATATCTTTTGGCAGACCGGTTGACACAGTGGAAAAATACAAATATTCTTTCATGGATGTCAGCCCTTTTTCAGGTCATAGTGTTTTAGAAATTAGACAGTATGTGCAGTCAAATCTAGATGAGATTTCCAGTGATTGATAACACAGCTGCTAATAGAGACATTCAGCAGAAGATAGAAAAAACACCATTTTCTTGTCTGGAGGTGTGCTGGATGGTTCAGGGGTTTTAATCTTCTTTTGATTACTGACCCACCTTTTGGGCCAGTGATCCAGTCCTAAATTTTACCAGAAAATTCTCTAGCAATTCTTGACTGTGCTTTAAAAGGTGTAGTTGGCGTGATGCACTAATGTGGTATTTTGTGGCATCTTCTCTTGTGGTTACTGTTCCAGTTTCTCTGCCACCTCTTTCCTCTTCACTGAAAAATCTCTTTAAAGCCCTTCTTCTGTCTTGCAGTGGAAGCTGGATTCCATGATCTATGTTAATAGCTAGAATTTATTTTCCAAATCTCGGTGATGACACTGTAGTGGTTTGCTTGGTAGATGCTAGTCAGTTGAGGTGCAAAGAGCAAACTAGAAATTATTTTTTGATTGATGGGGAAACAACATCTTTTGAGGCTGCCTCTAGGTTACATGTGAAAAAAGTCTTGTGTGAGCACGCTGAACTGTCCTGACTTGAAAATGTCTGCAACTCAGTGTCTTCATGAACAAGAAAGGTTTTCTTTCTGTCATTTGTCTGATGGGAAAGTATTTATCATTAAAAACACAGCAATCGTGCTGCACATTCTTTTAACAGATCACTATTATTTTAATTCTTAAACCTAGTTTTGATGATTCATGCAGAGTTGGGCCAGTAAATCAGTTCAGAGGCTCTTACACAAGGAAAGTTTGGCTCTTATTTCAGTCAAATGTGCACTGATTTGGGTTAGAATTATACTGGAAAAATATGTAAAAATACTACAAAAGTCAAGTCATCATCTATTAACTGAGGAGGGTTCTCTTGCTGGCAGCTGAAAAAACCTGCAATGCAAAAGTACTAAAGCAGAAGGGATCTTTATTTGCTTCCCTCATAGCACTGGACTGCTATTGCTTGGGCTCTCCGGAGTGACAAAATACAGAAAGAAAACAAAGGGTTAGCTGAGTTTTTAGGAGAGACTGTGAATGGAGGCAAAATACATGACAATGAAAGGAGACTATCATCTCTAATTAGGTGTCTGGCCTCAGGCAGTGCGTATAGAATAAACAGGGTAAATGTAAACTAAAATAAGATAGAAAGTTTGGAAGGTTGTGGATGGATATGCATGGTTTAGCTGTCAATCCTAAACCTGCACTCTGTTAAAGAGTTTCAGCAGCGGAGAGGGTGGCTGCAGCACCTTTTACCTGTTGGATTGACTGAACAGTAGGAATCCTGTCTGCCAAATCTGAGGCAGTTGTGGCATTTCCCAGTCCCCCTGCCTAAACCCGTGTCCTGTAACACCCAATGCTGAAGAGAAGGTAGAGGTGTCCTGTGTGAAGAGGGAGTAAAAGGTCTGAAATCCCCACGTTAGCTGAGAGCAACACAAAGGAGAGGCAATACATTATTTTTCTGATGGTTTTGCTCCAGAAAAAAACCCCCAATTGATTTCTAATTAAAGGAGGAGGACACAATGTCGAAGAGGAGCCAGGCACAGCTATCAAGGTTTTCCATGGCTGTCTGTGCTGCCCGTGGAGGCAGGGCTCTCGCCTTCCCCGTCAGGTTCTGTCACTGGCCCTGCGAACACTCACCCCACCCGTCCCCTCACATGGTCTCTGGGTGCAACCGTTCTCCTGCATCCCAGGGTTTGTCATTTCAGATCTAACCTAAAACCTGTCCAAGGTATTGCTGATGGACGCTCATGATCCTCCTAAACGTCAGGAAGGCAGGAGAGGATGACCTGGTGCGCTTTTGCGAGCGGACTGGGCTACGTTTGACAGGGAAGTGGCAGTTGCTGGCCTGGTGTGTGTGCGGTAGCGCCAAGGGACACCTCTTCACGCACCTACACGGGTAGCTTAAGCCAGCTCCACTTCAACCCCCAGGCCAGGCCCCCCAAGTGGGCCGGTACGCGCCACAGGGCCTGCAGGACAGGGCTTGAGCGGGCGGGAGCCCAGCCGCTGCCCGCGGCAGCAGCAGGCAGCGCTGCACCGAGGAGTCTCTCCGGCTCCCTCTCACACTGAGGCACCTCCTTCACCTCCCCGGTGAACGCGGCGCTGGTCGCCGTGCCCAGCCGGCCGGGCCGCGGCCTGCGGCCGCCGCTCAACGGGACGTCGCCTCCCGGGCCGCGCC